CCCCTCTTTCATTTTTTTCCTTTAAACGCCCGACGGAGATCCGGGGGGGGCTCCGGGCCCCCGAGTCCGCGGCATAGATGCGTTTCCCTGAAGGAGAGCTGCAGAGCAGACCCCGCCCCGCCCCGTCCTTCGCTCCCTGCAGGAGAGGCAGCGAGAGGATGCGCTGCCGCACGCTGTCAGAGTACCGCGGTGGAAGAGAAACGCGGATCAGAAGTGACAGGCATCAGCTAAACGTGGGTCAGCACAGTCCAGGCGGGCTCCGGCTGAGCACAACATTTCCCAGAGGGGTTTTAAGAGCACAATTAAAGCAGGCAGTCGACTCTAACCGTGTTAAACTTAAAAAAAAAAAAAAAAAAAAAAAAAAAAAAGGAAGAGGGAGGAGAAAAAGCCTATTTCTTGCTTCGCCTTCTGGAGAAGGTAAATTAACACGGATTATTGGACAGAAGGATCTCTCCTCTGACGGTCCCCAGCTGGATCACCCGCAGCCACAGACGAGCTCCCATCCAGCCCGCCAAAGCAGGATGGGGATGGCTCCGGTGGATGGGGGAAAGTCAGAGGCTGCAGCAGCCAAATTACTTGTAGAGAAGTAAATATCGGCACCAGAGAGGTCTTGCATTTAGGACATACCCAGGAACTGTGCGGAGAGATGAGCTGATGCCCCAGAGAGATAGCAGATCACAAGTAAAAAAAACAAACAAACAAACCAACAAACAAACAACAAACCCAAAAACAAAGCGCTCTGCTCCCTCGACTTTCTGCAGCAAGGGCACAGTTAGCAACTATCCCCTAAGCAGGTGGGAGAGGGCAGAAAGCATTTCAAAGTATCCTCCTGGAAAACCTTCCTGGAATGACCTTCGGCAGGAATTTACACTGATGGGCCTCAAGCCCTGACAACCCCTCCGGTCTCCTCCATTTCCAGCTTCCTTCTGTGAGAGCTTATCGTGAGATCCTGATCGATCAAAAGCAAGAGGCTATAAATGTGCGACGGGGACAGATCTTAACCCTTCTTGCATTTGCTGTGTTTCTTTATGCAGCTGAGAATTTCTGGGCAAGTGAAAACGAACATTTCAATTACACATCATATCAGGGCCTTTCAAAATAGGAAAAAATCAGGAGAACAGCCAGAAGTTCTACATTAAATTAAAAAAAAATAAAAAAATAAATCGATACGTCTGTTGGCATCCTCACAACTCAGCAAAACCTCCCAGTGAGGTTCCTATCCTGCCTGCACCAGAGCAAGCCTTGGTCAGCCCCAGCACAAGTATCTGTGGATATTATGATTTTTTTTAACTCCAGACGCCCCTGGCAGTACCTGAATGTTGCATTTTACTTCTACTGCATTGATGCTACAGCACCCATTAGAGTGGTGGGGGGCTGAGTGCAGGAGCTGGGGAGCTGGTGTGCATCCACCTTAATTCACACACTATGTACATTTGTTCAATGGACCACTGCACACAGTATACAATATAAGTATTTCCAGTACACTGTTTACCTTGGGTTTTTTTTTTCCTTAATTACTAACTGCAGAAATTCCCCAATTCCCACCTAGTCACCATAAAATTGTCATCCAGACTCCTCCTGCCCCAAATTCGCCCTAGACTTCTCTTCTGCCAAGATATGATGTCACCTACAATATTTGAAAAAGTTGCTAGTTTTACTGCTCTGTAGTGATGCACAGTCATTATAAACACCCTGAACCATAGCAACACCTATTAAAGTCACAGGAAAGACTGATAAATTTCCCTTAACATTGGCCTGCGGCAAAGATAAATCCATCCATCCGGGAAGGCTAGGGCAGACAGGTGTTGGTGTTCCAGGTGCACATCCAGGTAAGACACACAGACTCTACTCACCCATCTGTGACCGGGTTTGCAATGAAGAAACCCAAGAATTTTGGGCCCAAGATCCTCCTGTTGAACAGATAAACCCACTCAGAGGCAGATTTTCTTTAATCTTAATATTGGAATAACAAGCTGTGGTTATGCATATCGGTGCCTGAAATACCAGCAGTGCCAGCAGAAACTGATCAGCGAACAACGGCCAAAATCAAAGTAATTGTACATTTGCCTCTTTCTTTCTCCTTTTGAGAAGTATCTGGCAGCCTACACCTATTTTGTCTTTAATTCACTCATTTACTACTCATTTACCATTGAAATAACGTCTTCAGCTTTCTGCTACATCTCTCTAATTTTGTAGCATTGCCTAATGCTTGTTTACAGGGCTCTAAGGGAACCTGCCTTCGATTCTCTTTTTAACATTTTCAAACCTTCCAACCCTGCTTTAGTATTCTGGCATTCCTTGTCCTGTTGTCCTTTTCCACGCTCTGCTGTGGACAGTGATGTCCCCAGCAGTCAGGCAGCTTCGCTCACTGAACACGTGTGTTGCCAGCACCATCTCAACACCCAGCTCCTACCGCACTGCCTTCCCAGTCCTGCCTGGATGAGTGCCTGATCCACACACCGCTCAGGTAGACAGCTCTGGGCCATGGCCAAACTCCACTGCTTAGTAATATTAAATATCCAGGGCCAGTTACACCACTGTCATTCTTGCTGTGAAGCAGTAACACTGTTGTGCCATGGGGGCAGAATCCAGTGTTGCCCTTCATGCAAAGCCACCACTCTGCTTGGCAGAGTCCCAGGCCTTTTCCTCCCTGCCTGTTCGTGCTCTACCTCCCACATCCAGCTGCCCTGGGGGTCTCAAGGGTGCCTTTTACACTCAGTTTCTTCACTCTCACTCTTGTTTAGCTGACCTTCCAGCTAACCCCTCTTTTCAGGGTCTCCAATCTCAAAGGTCTCCATCTCAAATCGCTTACCCTAATTACATTATTTGCACATCAGTTGTATTAAATACCTTTAATGTAGACATTTCCCTTGGTATCACAGTGGATAATGTAACCACTGTTTAAAACCCCTCATCTTTGGTCTCACGTTTGCTTTCCATTTGCCATCTCTGAACCGTTCCCTATTCCCTTCCCTCAGCTTGACCTGTTCTTAAAGCCCGTTTGATCCGAGTTGCCAAGGAGTTCAACTTTTTGCGATGCCGAGGTGTAGAGAACTGCTAATGTAAAACAACAAGAGGTCTCAAACAGCCTGGGTGCTAAAACCACAAGTCAGAGCAATGGTCACTAGGACCCAGGACCGGACAGTACCCTGGAGTGAGGGTGAGGGAGGGAGCCCTGTGGAGACAGGGCGGCCTTGCCTGGGCCCTGTTCCCCATGGTCTGTGAAGCATCTTATTCCCCCCCACACCTACTGCCTAGGGGACAGTCCTGGTATCCCTCCTCTTGGTTTGGCTGGTCGCTGATGTAATTTTCCAATTAGCAAAACTACTAACCACTTGTGCCTTGGGAAAGGAATTTGGGAGGGAGCTAAAAGATAACAAACTGTGGAAAACTAATGGCTCTAACCTTGAAGAAGAGCTAAAAAGCCGACAAAAGTGAACATCTTGGCACCAAAGACTGGACGGTGGCCAGAGAAGATAAAACTGCAGAAAGTAGGTGAAAGGTAAATGTGGTGAGGGGAGATTACGACCACCGACTCAATTCAGGACCGAAAAGACTTGTCCCCCCACACCTGAAAGGAGCATGCGTGCTACTTTACATAGCAAGTGAGGCTAATTTAAATACAGTAAACCAACAGTGTATGAAATCTTAATCACTAACCAATAAGTGTAAATTTAGGTGGGTTTATACTAATCATGTAGTCTGATAAATGTGCTGTAGTTTATATGACGGTACTCGTGCATGCATGATTTGTGGAATTATCACCGAGCACCCTGCACAGAATCAACATCTCTATAAGAACCTTCACTTCTCCTCACTCTTCTCCTTTTTTCCTCACCAAATATGCCTGTTGGCAGGACCAATGCTGGATCCAGGACTGGTGATTCTCTTTTCCTTCTCCCTCTCTCTCTCTTTCACTTTTCCTAAGGTGATTAAGTTGTTAAATTGTAGTCAAGTACTGCACGGCCTACCTTGACTTTCTATAAAACCACATAGCTGGGGTGGATATAACTGTGAGAGGGTTGGCGGGTATCGAATATTTGTACTCAGTATTTGTCTCTATAGAAGCCTTCTACTAAAGCTGGTGTTTGCGTACGGACCTTGAGTGTTGGCTCACCTTAATCCACACCGAGAGGATTTGTGAATCTTAGTCACTCCTCCCCCCTCCCCAGGTGGGACGTGACACAAGGGCACAGGTCCATGGTCTCTCTCACCGCTACAACATCTGGCTCCCGACGTGCTCACAGAGCGCTTCCTCCGCATCCCTCCACCTAACACAGGCAGTTGCAGTGCTGCATCAGAGCTCTGAGCATCCCTTACGTACTCTTTCTCCTGCCCCATCTTATATTTTCAGCCAATCATCCCCTTTTCCGGCAATAAGATGTCATCAGTCCAGTCATGCACGTTGTGCTCGGAACAGTGGTAGCGGCCAGAAGAAAATGTTAAGCGAGCAAAGGCAAAAACATAAATGCGCATAGTAAAACCGGGTTACCTCGGGGCCGTGGAGCACACAGCCACACCACATGAAGGGCCACTCGTGTTTGAACGTCATCATCTACGTCAGCAATGATTTTAAGGTGCTGTTTCCCCAGGCAATGCATCAGAGGTGGTGCAAACGCGGAGCAGTGCTTTCGGTGGAGGTTTGCAGGACGCGTCCTGCTCGGTATTGAGGCTTGGGAAAATCCCAGGGGCGCCCACCAGAACCTAGGAGCCCCACTGGTGCTAAATTAGGACACGGTGCTTCAG